GTTGCTAGGAAGCAGGTAAGTGCGCAAGTGACCTAAATTTTTGATGCCAAGTGCGCAAGTGACCCAAAGTGCGCAAGTGACCGAAATTCCCAGTGCGCAAGTGACTGCCCGGCCGGTTTAGATGAAGACACTTGGAAAAGAAACTCAGAAACATCATCCACAAAATTGCTGGACTGAGTCTCCAAATGTCTTCGACGTCGCCACGCCCGATCCACCCTTGCTTCATCAGCACAATTTGTTGAATTTGTTAGGCAGCCCGAGGCTTTCGTGAAGAAGGAGCGCAGTTGGGAGAGGCTCGTGATGACAAAGTGCAGAACATGCTTGCAAAGAAACTCAAGTAAGCAACTTGAAGGTCTTTAAGGCATCTCTTTGCTTGGCAGGCCGTGCTTCAATGCATGAAGTCGGCTGGCGACCGAGCAGAGGCTGGGATTTGGTGGGGTAGGTCATTCTCAGAATCCGGCTGGAGTGGTTTCGACGCGAAAAACTTGAGCATAAGAACAGAGAGAAAAAAGACACCTAATAGCAATGGCTCTACTATCCTAATAGCGATGGCCTCCAACCTAGAAGCACTGGCCTCCAACTTTAGCTCCGAGACGGGGTTGTGCGCAGCCCGATGACGCAGTTCCGCTTGGCAGAGAATTGAATGTGTAGTGCCGCAGTGGGTGTGGTGTGAGTTTCACGTTGAACAATTTGGATTTGGTGGTTGTAATTTTGTGGTTGGTAGTTGGTTGGTGCGGCTGGTCATTTGAATGTCTCGGTATGTTTTGCGAGTTCTGGCTTCGTTGTGAAATGGTTTGTTTGTTTGGCATTACATTGCATCCATGTTTGCATACATTTTCACCACAGCACATTGCAAATGATGCACGCGGCTGAATTAGCATCACAAGCATCACCAAGAGCTGGATTTTGTCAATTGGTGCCCGAAGGCCTTTGTAAACTACATTGCTCCTGCAGCACTCCCCGGCAGATTAAACCAAAGGTCGACAGGGGCCACAGCAGCCAAAGCTAAAGAAGCTTGACGCTCACTCGCCGACTGCAGACAGGGGATGAGTTTCGGGAACCCAACCACTGGCATGAACAAGTTTGTGGGATGGAATGCGGCTTCTGGCGCATTTGCCAGTGCGTGGAACTTGACCCAAATCCAGCCTCACGTCTGCAGTCTAGCAAAGACTCCTTGGATTCGATTGTGGAGAAAGTGTTGCGGTCTCTGCCGCATACTCCCAGCTTTTTATGTTAACAACTACATACAACTACCAAACATGTTCAACATTTGTATTGGGCTTTTGTGCCAAATGCCACATCCAGCGTGCTTACAAATGAACGCGTGTGTTTTGCCCATCGTGCGATGCACAAAGCTGGGGTTTGCGCTGCTACGTTTGGTGATGCTTGGCTGTTGGCCCTGATTCATCCACAGGTCAATGCTCAATAATAGACCATCCTTTGCTTCCACAAAGAATAGAGCAGACATTTTCAAACAGTTTGTTGCACATGTCCAAAGCATTGGAAAGACAAATGCAATTTCCAGGATGTTGTCAAGAGCAGCACATGATCTAGACTTGAGTTTTCAAAGCTTTGCCCAAAGCTTTGCACACACTCACACCACGAAGCTAGACACTCAGACATGCGAAACCATTGCAAGAACGTGCTTATTCTTGAAGTTTCCAGACTGCTTCGAATACCAGAGATCTAAATGTCGCAGTTGCGACAACATGCAAATGCCCTAAGTTTAAACTCATGCGGAGTTCAAACGCAAAGCTCGAGCCAGAGTCTTCATTGTGCCATAAAGTAGCACCTAGTCTTGAGAAGAAATCGTGTGTGCAACGAAACCCTGTGAAAACTGTCGGCGCATTGTACAGTCCATACCTTTTTGAGTCCGTCCCCGACAAGGTGGTCACAAAAGCAAAAGAGATTCTGCGCAGTGCAAAGGCAGACTATCAGAAGGACGTTCAGATCTTTTTTACTGACGACTGGTCATCATGCAGAAATGTGAACCCCACGATGTGTAACTAAGTTGGAGGTTATGCGGTGAAAAGTGTGGTTTGAGCTGATGGCACCTCTGCGTTAAACAGGAGCTTGAAGCAGAAGAGCAGAGATTTGCAGAGCAGAAAGAGGCATGAATTCGTGATGATGCAGGGTATCATGTCAGAAAGTTAGGTTCTTGGTTTGCAGGATCTGACTGATCCTGTCTAGAGGTATGGTAGGTTGGCCAGTTGGCCAACTATTGCTTTGGGAGGAGTTGTTTTGCATCGCTGACAGAGAGGGCAAGGGGCTCTACTGCTCTTGGTTTAGCCTGCTTCAGATTTGCTGAAGGCTTCCAGACTCCAGCATCTGAAGATTGAAGCTTTCTTGCAACGGTGCCCCTGGTATCATTTGCGTCAGGCTTGGCTCAAGCACTTCACATGTGATGGAGGGAAGCCCCCTGAATCATTTGTGCTTTTTTGGGTTGTGAAATTGTGGCCACTGAAGGCACCGGCATGTTGAACAAAGCGGTTCGCCCAAATCTTGTTGTTTCTCAATGTTTGTAGTATTTCTCACAAAGACAGGCTTGAGCAAAGGGAAACCGTCGAAACTCATGTGGGAGAGATGCGCAAAACGTGTAGGTACAGCTGCTGCTTGGGCTTGGAGATCACCCGCGTTTGTGCGCAGACCATTCGATTGTGCTTCACGTTGATTGACAAGGCAGAGGGACCTGGGATCCATGAGACGGGTTCGTTTTCATCTAATGACTGCATGCTTTTGGATCCAGTTGTAACAAGAACGGATTCAGATTGAGTCTGGCCAAGAACGGACAGAGACCACTCAGATATGAGTTGCTGTATAGCACTTGCTCCTTAGTGACACATTGATGTCATATGATGTCATATCAACTGGTGAACCTTTAAAGGCCTGGATAAGAAACTAACATACCCCTTTGATCCCCGTATTGCAATACTGCAGGCAGACACCAGCAGGGAGTTCACTCTGGTGCTGGGCCTCTCCAAAGAGGTGCGAGCAGGGAGTTCACTCAGGTTTTGAAGAGGCTTCAGGGACATGATGGAAGCAGGTGTGACACCTTGATGGAAACAGCTGTCACGTGGAGAGAACTCAATTGGCTCAGGGCTATGTGGCTTCGAACTGCAACCCGGAGGCCGGTTTTGGGGAGAGTGGCACCAGAGCGTCCAGAGCGGAGCCTTGCCAGTCGGCCACAGAGACCTTCAGAGTGTTACTTGTAGTAATGCCAGGAGCTACTAGTAGCGATGCCCTTTGTTACTAGTAGCTTCTTGAGTAATATTGCATTTTATTGCTGTTCTTTGTGCTCTTGTTGGAACACTGGATGCTTGATGACATGACTATCTTGTGTGATCTTGATAGCAATGAATTTGTGCAAGCTAGGACACTGCATGTGCATTCTACATCTGGGCAAAGTCATGAGTCACACATGTGTATTTACTTCTCTTTTGAATGCATGTTTACTTGTGGGACTTCTTGTTTGAGACAAAATGTCTACGATATCTTTATATACATGGAACTGGGGCAGGTGCCAGAGCTTCCTGAACTGCTCGAACGTCTCAACGAGGTCTGAGGTTTGCCGGTGTTTTTGGGGTTGAAGGATTCTTCCACGTGTGGTTTTGAGATGCACTCGCTATGCATTTTGCACTCGCTAGCGGCTAGCGACATGTTCAAGACATGCTTCTTCCTTGGCCAGCCTGCAAAACGCCAAACCTACACCTGTATAGCGGAAGTTACAGTATAGAAGGGGTCAGCGTCAGCCATTTCATCATGTCTCAACTTGCATATTGTACATGCATGGCAGATGGCCCTTGCCTTCGATTTGGGAAAGATGGTTTGATGATTTGGGTTTGCAATAGTCAATCGTATCCCAATTTGTGTTTGTAAAGCAGCGGTGGCATTGGCATGTTTTTCTCGCATTCCTCGTTTTTCACGGACAGCCTGCTGTCCAGGATTCCACCAATGTCGCAGCGGTCCCAAGGTGATGCTGTCATGGGTCAACGGGTCTTGAACAATGGTCCGACTTTATGTTTCTCCACACACTCGTCAAACCAGAAGCCAAAGTCATGCGTGGGAGAAGGTTCCTGCTCTGTCTTGGTTTTCAAACACAGGACTTTGGAATTGCTAGGTACATTCAACTAGACCTCTAATTGTAGGTGAGACACGTTGGTGAACACTTTGATCAGCATTCTGTTCTTAGTGATATATGCAGCTGGCAGTTCGGTTGTCAATTATTCTATATCGTTTTCAGCAGGCATGTGCAGCTTTTTTTCTGCACTTACTTGTTTGTTTCCGGTTGTGTTCTCGTCATTCTTGCGAGATTTGTATGTGGCTTGCGCCGGGCATTTGCTCGCATTGCAGCCCCAGCCCAAGCAATGTTTTTGTATGTTACTGTGTGAAGCTACTTGTAGACGTGCTACAGGCAACTGAAAACCCATTGTGTTGTAGTCCATGCCTTCTTTTTCATGGGAAGCTAGCGAATGATCAATTGGTAGGTGAAAGCTTGAGTCTCGAGATTCCACAGGCATTACCAGCTCGTACCTAAAATTTGGATGCCAGATATCATTGAGCATACTGAACTTTACAAATGGGTGGTTCTTCCCTATTCTTCGCAGCCAAATCTGGTTCTTGATTTTCTCCGCCCTCGAATGGTGGAATTCGTTTGGTGAGGCTTGAACGCTCCATGAGTGAGGACGACGCTTAAGGAATGTCTCGCAGCAACATCATCAAAAAACATCCTCGTGCTGAGACTTTTTGTGACAATTTGTGACCCTGTAGAAGCAGGCTTTTACTTGACAGTCAGGCTTTCAATGGGTGGTTGCGAGGTTGGTGAGATCCCATTCTGAAGATTCAGCCAGGATGATGTTCTGAGAGCTCCGGTCCCCGAGACCGAGACGGATTTTTTTGTGAATTCACGCTTTCCTGAGTTTCACGGCTTGTCCCAGACCACTCTGAGCAAATTTCTCCAGGCAATTGGTCTCAGATCTTGTTTGTTGTTTTTGGAGACGTTGTGCACATTCGGTTTGTATATTAATTTGCAAAGCTCCCTGCTGCATTAATTCGACCATTGAACCAACATCAGTTGTGAAAAGAAGAACAGCGTGAGGGGCCAACAGCATGAGAACATAGTCAGACACTCAGACACGTGGACAACCGGAGCTTTGCTGCAGCGTGGCTTGGAGAACGTGGACAACCGCGATAGCGACATCGAACCACACAGTCATGACATGTTGCTTTATCTCGACACAAAGCTGGGCCTGTAGTGTTTTGCTTTAGCCGAAGCTTGTGCCTAAGAAACTAATGTGACACCAAAGCACATTGAGCAACTATGTGAGTGTCATTCACACACGTCATGAACTTGTTCGAAAAAGCCAGCTCATTCCTGGGAGCTGGCATTCGATGGAGATTGAGGCCTTTGGGAGTTGAGTTTTGAGAGTTTGTCGTTTCTACGCAAGGCTTATTGGTGTTCAACACACGGCTTGGCACAGCCGGTGCTGTGGATGAGGTTCTTCGCACAAAAACTAGACACTGTACCGCTACAAAAACTGCTAGCCATTTTCCAATATTTGGGACCAGAACTGAATCCGGTTCATGTTGAGGGTGAAACAGAATTAACAGAAGGCAGGGACTGGCCCAAGACAAAACCCTGCTTTTGCTGGCATGCATGTTTGCAGAAGCAGTTCAAACAGTTTGGGTGGGGGGTGGGCGTTGTGGGGTGACCTAATCTATTGTATTGTAGGCTGCTATTCCATAATATCCGGATTTAATTTCAGATGACAACGGACAAGCCAGGAGGTGCACTTCGCTGGTTCCCCGTTGGACCAGTACCTGAAGGACGTTTTTGACAAGAGAATGTAGTCTGAAGAGTGCGCAACTTGTCACTAGTAGCTTCTTGCTCCTAGTAGCGATTCCCTTTGTTCCCAGTAGCGATGCCCTTGTTACCAGTAGCTTCTTTCGACAAGTGTGTGTAGTCTGAAGGATGATATCCGAGCACCATTGATCTCCCGATTGAGACTGTGAGAGGGAAGAAAGCTGCACCCCGAATGGCACGCTTTACAGTCACAGTCATGTTTTGACTTCTACCGTATGAAGGTATCTTCATACTATGGTGGTACAATCCGCTGATTGTGAGCCATTGTGGCCGCGGAGTCCGCTGAAAGAGATTAAGCATGCTCCATTCCAATCGACAAAGACATGCTCCGGTCATCGACTTTCGGCCCCTTCGATCAAGCACAGCTGAAGTTTTGAGCCAAGAACTGTCCTTGTTTGTTTGTGAAATCCTTTTGTCTCGCAGGAGGTTGGATGTGATTTGGGATGCACCGTGGAGGTGGGACGCGTCGCACAACGTTGGGCATACTCAAAACAGAACCAAGCACTTGGACCAAGCTTGTTTTATCATGCAAAATGCATCATTTTTTTCAGCACGACCTTGCCCAAAGCATTTTGAGCTCGGTGTCATCATCAAAAGCCTTCGCCAAGCTGCACTCAAAAGCTTCTCGGCAGTCTCAATGGACAGCATGGCCCAGCGCCAGGCTAAATCCAGTAGCTTTCGAAAGGCTCCTACCAGGACGCTACTAGGAACAAAGGGCATCGCTTCTAGGAGCGTTCGGACGCTTCTAGGGGCTCCTGGCCTTACTACTAGGAGCAAGGACGCTACGAACGGAACCAAGGGCATCGCTTCGAACGGAGCGTTCGGACGCTACGAACGGGGCTCCTGGCATCGCTACTCGGAACGATCGGACGTGACGGACTCCTTTTTCGCCTTTCGGAGCCCCAAATCCGAAGACAACGGTGAGTGCAACGGGGCGATGGCCTCGACTGAATAGTGGTCTCCAACCGGAACCGAATTGCAAAACTCTTTTCTGGCAATTTCAGCAATTTGCATGAGGTTCTCATGGCTTACGGTCTTCATCAGCTCTTGTTGGCTACCGTGTGCGGCCTGTCTCTGGCTTCCTCTCCGTGTCTTGGTTCAGATGGATGGACCGGCACATCGCAAGGACGCCAACCTCCGATGATACTCGCGGCATCTGGCCTTGAAGTAGGTCGCCAAAATTGATGCCCGAAGAAGTAGGTCGCTGCCCCGGAGTTCGGTTTAACTGGTCAGGACCAACCAGGCGACTGCGGCGACTGCTGATTCTTTTCACATGACTTGCAATGTTTGCAAGGGTCTTGTACTTTGAAGACTGGAATCAGCTTTCTTCGCTACCCCTTACTTTCTCAAAGCCAGCGAAGATATACATTCGCTGCTTCAGTTGCATGAGGTTTCAAGCTCCAAAGTTTTGCTAAGGAATCTTCGAGCTTCGATCAACGTCACGGAGGCTTTTGAGAGGAATTTCACCATGGGAAATGCAACATAGCTCAAAGGTTTCTACATGTAGTCCTAGGCTTGCAGATTTTGGCAAGGTGTCAGAACAATTAGAAAGCAAGCAGACCTTTGTGAAGCTGGTTTGGATCACCTTTTTCACTTTTCACTTCAGACTGCACCCTGCACCAGTTCCCTACCTGCACTGAGGCGTCTGCGAGACATTTGTGGGCTCCGCCACCCAAAAAGAACGGCTACAGGCCACGCCGCCACGCGCGGCTTCAGCGGCTTTTGCAGCGTTTTCAGCGAAGTCAAAGTATTTTTCCGCTTGAGATTAGAGAGAGAGAGAGAGTTCTCAATCACCTTGTGCAGGTATCTCGCCACAACCACCCGCTACGGGACAAATCCATTCACTGCCTGTGGCTTGGATTCAGGTGCTCTTGTCAAAGGCGGGAAGTGGCTCCGGAGCCTGGCTGCAGAGACAGCATTCCTTTCTGGAAGGTACGGACTACCTCGCCGTAGCCTCGGCTCAGGCGATGCAGGAGTTCCACGAATTCTTCGCTCTCGGACTTTCGACAAGTCATGACACGGGCACTGTTTAAGCCCCACCTTTGATGTCCTTCACTACATCCCGCTTAGTCTTCTCTGTGACTATGGAGGCTTTATCACGATCACCCTTTGCTTCTTTCATTGCGTGCATCCCGCAGATGTTTGTGATCCTGTGAAGATGCCGCCTCCACATTCCAAGGCGGAGGTTTTTGACAACAAAGGAAAGTACACACAGAAAGAGACTTGCTTTGCAGAGGCTTTGCCAGGGATAGATAGGAACTCTTCAAATGTTCAATTCCTAAGTCCCTTGTACTGATGCCTTCTATTCTACAGAGAGGAAGCGTTGGATTTTGGCAAGTAGGCCACAGCCAAAATTGATAGCCAATGTTTTTCGGGCTACATGCCGGTGCAATAAGCGCGTGGATTGTAAGCGCTTCTGTGACTTCACAGGGGTCAGGGTCAGGAGAGCAGGGCAAAGCTCAAAGGGTTGGGACGGAGAGTGCAACAAAAGCCCGCAGAAAGAGGCGACTGCCAGCAGGCAGCCTGCAGCAGTGAGAGGCAGACCTGTCAGCAAGTGACTTGTATCGTGTTGTTGGCCGTCTTCAGCTACACTGCTTTCTTCTCAGCTCCTTGTCGGTGTCAGATGAATGGAAGCCTGCCAAGCACATCTTATTGATAGCTGACGGCACTTTCAAAGTCGACTGGGTAGGGCGCAAGTTTGGTTTTGTTGGGCTTCGGTAGGGAACGCTTAGCAGACCCAAAACAAAGGTGCCACATAGTAAAGGTCAGGCGTGTGTCGCGTAAGGCCTTTGGAGGAAAGACCTTTGGAAGTCGTGAACAACAGTTGGGTGTGAGTGAGACTTCTGTGAGCAGGATGGTTGCTGCCGATGCAATCGCAATGGTGGAGGCGGATCCACCGTAACTTGGCTTTCCTGAGTTGCAGGCTTCAGGTCAACAACTTTCCCATCCGAAACGGTGTTGGTTCATGCCTTGTCAAGAGAGACGCTTGCGCGTATGCACTGTCTTGTTTTTTTGATGCGCAAGGTCATTTGTGTATATTTCTGTATCAAAAACTGGCAAAGTTGAAGACACTTTTCTTTGAACCGGTTCCAAAAATCATGCTGTTTGACTTGCAAGAATATGTTTTCAGGCATCCTCGACCTTGGACAGGCTTAATTTAACCGGATTTATTTGAAAGGTCCATACACGTACTGCGTGCATTTGAGGCGAGCCTCGGCTGCGGATCTTGCGGTAAGGGCCGCTTCATTCGACAGCTGCCTCGGGGATTTCACATTTGGACTCCAGAATCCAGTCCGATCTTCCATGAGGACAGGTCAGGGGGTGGCGGTGTGATCCTGACATCATGCTGTCTCCGTAATTCCGGCCCCTTGACGAGGAGTACAAATTCGCCTGTAGCTCAGATGAGGACTTCAATTTTCAAAGTCAATCTACGACACTCCTGTTGCAGTGGTGTCCTCAGGTTGTGGTTGATATTTGCCCTCATTCTGACAATTCGATGTGGTGCCCACGAAGCGCTGAACAGACCAACACCTTTGGAGTGACTTGGCATGTTGACACCTGGGTTTCACCCAGACGAGTATGTGAGAGTAGATGAGGTTGCACAAACGCACACACAGAGTCCCACTTTGACTGTTCAGACATTTAGAACTTTTGATTGATTGATGTGTATACATCAACAGTCATCAATATTTGATATCTCCTGCGTTTTAGGTAGCTGATGGTCTGCACTACAGCGGAAAGGAACTTCTGAAAGACACTTCGTTGTTCTCTCCAAAATATGAAAATATTGTTTGGAGTGTGGGGTCTCGATCTGGATGATTCCTTCTCTTGGTGGGGTGAGGTCCACAATCACCTGGACTTTGCTACGGTCCCGAAGAAGTTCGGCCCTTGGATGTTCCAACGCATTATTTCCTTGTTGATTTGTGTGGTACAAATCCGTGGGAGTTGCAAAGCAGAGAGCAGCAAACTGGTAGATTCTTCTCTTTACCAAAGGATGCCTTTGAGAAACGGCCGCTTTGACACTTTGATTTTTGTTTGCTTCGCAGCTTCGACAACTTCTACTTCGAGTTCACTCCAGAACCTTGTGACCAGGAAATGAAGTTCAGGGCTTATTGTGGGCAATGTTTCTTGCAGCAACAAGAATGTTTCCCAGATCCCAGTTGATCGAAAACATAGTTTGCATGGCTAAAGATTCAACGAGGTCATTGAGATATGCAAACCAGTGCATTCTTGAAGACATCTGGCATGAGTTTGATGGTCAGGTCTCGCCTTGCACGCATGTCTGACTGCAACTTGTGATGTGGCTTTTTGGGCTGGGATGCTGCCAATGTGGCTGCGTGGCCGTCCTCAGTGGACCAAGACAAAGCATCGTACAAAAGTGAGAGATCAACGAAGAGAAGAGGTACGACGATGAATATTGTCCAGGGAAACCTGGTTACTTGGATTGCAAGAAAATATGGCATAGTTTCTTCATTCACTCTTTGAGGCATGACGTGGCTGACGCACTTTTCAGCCGGCTGATAGTGGGAAATGGTTTTTGATCATGACAACCCGGACTCGATTCAATGAATCGAGTATATATCTTGTCCATGTGCTTCGGGCTGATGCAACACCAGAAGCCCAGCGTGCACCAATCCTTAAGTTTTGATGGCTTGGTCTTGGCTCCGTGAAGCTCTCTGAAGTCTGCAAAGGCACAATGAAAGAAGGTGTGCAGATACATCGCGGAAGCTCATGGGTTGAGCTGTAATTAGACACACAGAGCTTTGCTTTTGGATGAGTCAAACCTCTGCCCAAAGTTGTGCATGAGTTTCTAATCCATTATCCCAATGATTGGAGACTCCCACCAGTCAGTGAGGGCTGACCAGGTGTGGAATTCATACGGCAAAGGCCAAACCTACAGAGGCTGGAAAGGCTTCAAGCTTTAAACTTCTTGGTGCCTTTCCAGTCTCCGTTTGCAGTTACGCTTGATCAAACGTTGGCATCCAGGGGCAGGAGGCTTGTTGCTCATCTGTGCACAGCGAATTCTCAGCATTTCTGGACGCTTCTGCGCGTCTTGGGGAAGCAATTGAGCCAGGCCCCCAAGGCCAAGATGGAGGATGCTCCACAGGTGCAAGTTGAGCTGCTTGTGTCCGTTCCGAACTTCTTTCTCTCGACTCTATGGACACACTGTTCGACGTTCCCATCGATGATCAACCAGCTCAGCTGGTTGTATGTTTCCGCTGTGGTGCAAGACAACAATTTGTTCAGAGGACTCAGCTAGAACAGACCCAGGACTCACCTTCCCGCTCCAGGCACCAAAGCCACGCCCATTAGACACACATGGGCGCGAGGTGGCGAAGGTTGGGAACAAGCGTCGTGAAGAAATGGTAAGCTTTTAAGGCTCCTTTTGAATGAAAGGAAGGTAAACTGAGAGAATGTCTCCGGTTCATTGGTTCCGGGCAAAGCATCATACCAGGTTGAAGAAGGCTCATGAACCACGGCCCTAGTATACTGAGGAACTCAGGTTTTCTGAGAGCTATTTTCTGAACCGATTGCCAAACGAACGATTGCATTGTGCTTGGTGACTCTAGCATGTACGGGTCACTGGATGTTCAACTGAAGATGTTTGACGTCGGCCACTTGCCAGGAGATTGCCAAGCTTTGTGTGGGGCCTTAGACTTTGACGCCGTGAGCTCACAAGATGAGCTTCACAGGTTTCATGATTGAACTCAGCTTTGCATCATTTGGCATCCCTCTTGGATTCCACCGGCTGGGCACGTGCTAAGATACCAGGATGTGCCGTCGATACTTTTGCTGGGTTTTTGGCTGCAATCATTTGAACGAGATCGAAGCAGAATCGTCAGACTGACTCCATAATAAAACTTCATTCATCGCAGAGGTGTACCAGCAGGCATAGCTTTTCACCTGCGCGTGAACAGGTGAAAGCTGCTGCCTTTTGTCTCCTGATGCCTCTGCTGCAGCAGGGTTTGGCAACAGGGCAGGCGAGTAGTCGGTGAGTGGCATTTGCAGTGCACATGCGCTGCAATCGGGTTGCACAAGACCCCATATTGCAGTGGGATAAGCTTGTGAACTTTGTGCCATGTTCATGCTGCCAGAGTGAAATTGTAGTTTAGGATACAGAAATGGTCTGACTAGTCTGGCAAGGTGGAACTCCATTGGTTGCCAAGTACTACCACATGTGAAATGCAGTATACCAAACCCCATGGGGGTCAGCCAGGAACAAGAGAATCATGGCCGTGGCTGCTTCCGCTCAGTTTGAAGCCAAGTTCTGGAGCTTCACACAGTGCAAGAGCCAAGATTCTGTAAACACTTGGACCACTGTGGAGGAGATCCTTTCCAGTGAGATTCACTGAAGTTGCTGCCTCCCGACAGAAATCGTCTCAGAAACAGTCAACATTGATGTACTGGGTTCTCGTCCACCGATCCATGCATACATGCTCAATATCCACATCGCTCCATGCATTGCGGCGCCCATCGGAACGTTGATGCCCACAAAAGGAAGGGATCATATACAGACACACACACACACTACACAGCTTCCAAACGTCTACATCCAAAATGCCTCGGATTGGACATTGATTGGATATAGGCCTGTCTTTTGTGCGAACAGGCGACCCATCGAGTGCGCCAGTGGTCAATCCATCCGAAGCCACGCAGGTTGCCAAATACATCCTGACCGACTTATTATCTCGCTGCCACCAAACACTGTCCAAAGCGATGCAATTGCATACAGACTTGTGGTACTGTAGCCACTCCGTCCATTGTTGCAAACATCATGGCACATCCACAAAGGCACCCATTTACAAGAGTTAGCTTTGATTGGATTTGGATGCTCCCGGTGCCGTCCACAACTAAGATGCACTTGATTGGAACTTTCAGGACAACCCGTGATGCAAACGATGCATTCAATACTCTATGATTTTTTGCATCACCAGCTTGAAGATGCTCTAATTGACCCAGACAAGGAAAAACATGCCTGAAGCAAGAATGTTCACTGTGGTGTATCACATGCCTAGACCTCGTCACGTTCGGCGCGTGCCAACTTTCAGAAATGCACATGCAACAATTTTGCAGCACATCCTTGAACTGCTCGGCGACTGCCGAGACCTGACCCTGGGCTTCTCTTTCTTTGCACTATGGCGTCGACGTGGTGCAGGCCTGTGGGTTTCCCAATCAGTGATATCCGGTAGGACGAGACTGCCAGTCTGCCGTGTGATGTGTACTTCGCCTTGGGACCAAAGGATGTGGGTACTTGCCCTGCGGTGTTCTTGGAGGTTTTCCCTCGTGGTTTGGCACGTCAGCAGCTGTTTGCCTGGTGGCTGAGATCTTAGATCTTCGGACCAATCTACGGGCCGAAACAGCTAAACAGCTATATCACCTCATGGCTTTCTGACCGTTTGATTGACCTTGGCAAACACCTGCAAGGGATTCGTTTCGCGTGAGGCCTCCTGCTGCCAGTCTGTGTTTCTGTTTACCCGAGCATCACTTTGGTGGGAGGCAGCACTGTTGATTGTCCACAAGAAAGGCCAATGGCTAATAAAGTGGAAGTGCTTGGTTGTCTGGGATCTCCCTTTGCTTCAAGCTGCTTCCTATGCGACAAGCAGAGGGGCCTCATACAAGCAAAGCTGAAATACGCTTGTCCCATTTTCTTAGCGACGCCGATTTTTGCAGCCGATGGACAGCAGGCCAGAGCAACTTGCAAAGCCCTGCTTTGGCTTTTTGAAGAGGCAGGCACAAAGTTCAGGTGTCTTTTGGTACAAAGGCCATGCCTCCATCACGAGCTGAATATCGCCCCGTGCTTGAATAGTATCAACTCTGGAGATCTGGCATGGACCCCCTGAGAGAAGCTCTACTGACAGCGCAAGCACTTGTTAGGCTGATGCAGCTGTGCAACTGCTCCGATCTTTGGAACTGGAAGCGGAAGAGACAGAAGGACAGCTGTATGTGCTTGGAACAACTGCGCATGTGGCGCATGTGTAGGTTCGGAAGACTCCTGTCTCCTCGCAATCATGCTGCAAATTAGCCCGCCTTCCTTGGAGCCAATTTACAGCTGCCTTGTTACGCAAACAAGAACTAGGATATTCATTACTCCAGTTCCAAGCATGCACAAGACTGCTGTACACCTCCTTTCTACAACAGACCACAGAGGAGTCACTTGAATCGAATCAACGTTGAATCCATAACCTGAGCCTGTTTGATGCTAAACAATTGAATCCGATAGATACATCGACATCAAGTTGAATCAGCAGGTCCGGACCGTGCATGCAAGGCACGTAAACCTGGAGACTGAGCCCTGTATTGTCGAGACCGTCAATGGTTAGTCAGTCCAACGGGACCAAGAAAACCTTATAGACAAACTCAGTAACCTTGACTCTCAATCTTGCGGCAGAGCTTCACAGCGCTTGTCATGCCGCCAAAGGCGGCTGGAAAAACTGCGGCCAAGGCCAGAATCTTGTCCTGCTTCAGCTTAACTCCTGGCACCTCATATTGGGACCATTTGGGACCTGCATTGCGCTTGACTTGAAAGCGCCAGGCAGCGGCGAAAGGTGCCGCCAAAGCGGCGCCAGCTGCCAAAGGGGCCGCCAAGGCACTAAGCCACTATGCAGATCACTGCTTTGACAAGAAAGACATTTACTACTTACTTTGCCTTCGTGTGGAATTACTGGCAACATTACAGTGCGTTTGACGTGTTGGATGGTTTTAACTAGATTTAATATAACCTTGCGAGAACACTCTCGCGGGCTTTTGCTCAGGGTATATCATGAGAGACGAGAATGGATTGGGTTTCACTACAGCGAAGCAATTCTTTCAGTGCGGACACATGGGTTCATGTAAAGTTGTGCGACATACATTTCACTCACCGGCAATACTCACGGCAAGGCTGTGCCTTTTTTGGGTTTGCTGCTTTTATTTCCTTCTGATAGGCTGCGCCAAAGGCTGCTCCAGCTGCTGCAGGCACAGGTGCTGCAGCGGCGAAGGTGCTGAAAGAGACCAAGGCCACTGCCGGATGGTGCCGGAATTGTTGAACAACGTAGGGTTAGGGTTTTCAACATTTGGTGATGCTTTGCATTGCTGAGCCCTTTGGAGTTGCATTATCAATGGCTTGATGGACAAAGGCAAATCCAGTTCGACAGGAACAGGATCCAAAGAGCGATCCAGACCTTGAGAAGCCTGAGGAAGAGGCACAAACACAGAAGGAGGCATCCGAGGCTGTCACTGCCTTTGCACGCTTGCGCTGCGGTAAATGCTCACACGCTGGCGCAGTCGACCTTTCTGTGGCCCACTCAACGGAGGCCAAAAGCGACAAGGAGGATGAAAAGAAAAAGGCCCCAATCGTATTCTTGCCTTGGGGCTGTTCGCAGCCCCCAAAATCGGCTTCGAAAATATTGTAGGGGGTAGCCAGAGGCAACTTTTGGAGTGACCATTTTGCAATATTTTGTATATATGTATATCTTTTGTTTTTGTTTCTTGTCTTTGTGTGTACAAAGATATATATATATATATGCACATACACATGCACGATGTATATTGCAGAGTCCATACACATGTATCGACTAATTGTCATTTTTTTTAAATTCATTTTTTCGGCCACGCTCATCAGATTGCGAACAATGTGCGGAGCGCAAGGACTCACGAGCGCAGTGACAAGCCTTTGGAAGATCGACATGTCACTTTTCCCTTGTTTGTTTCGCTTTGATGTACTGTTCATTTTGTTCTTCATGCGATATGCGCACTATTCCACGAAGCTATTTTACCCTTTATTTCGTATTTTGTCTATTAATTGCATTCGGAATCAAAGCAAATCTTAATGTGAACTCAAAAGGTGCAGCCAGATCGATCAGCATCACCAGCATCACCAACCATTTGAGTATCAAACAAATTCCGCCTCAAGACTCTTTCAATCTGCAGGCCAACACCATCTAGTCCCAAGCCTGAATTTGCACCCCAGTCAAAGCACGCAGCGGCGCTTTGGAAATGCAACAAAACATTCGTAGCGCACGAATTTCCATTCACAGCGAAATGGAAAAGCACCAAATTTGTTTGAAAGTGAAAGAAAGGCACAGCTCCGATTATACACAGTGAGATTCTTGTGTTTGAGTAGCCTGACTGAAGCCAGCCTCAAGGAGGAAGAAGCAAAGCTAGAAGAGCAGCGAAAGGCTGAAGAAGCAGAAAAGGAGCGAAAACGACAGAAGGCGAAAGGGTAGATTGGACTTGCTCGCAGAGCTTGCTGTGGTGCGAAGGAGTTTTATAGACAGGCACTATTGGTCCAATCGTTTGTCTTGCACTTGGAACCATTCCTGGCACACTTAGATTACTCAACCCCACCTTGCACTTGTGATTGTGTGGACCTACCAGGGGACAGGATGCAAAGGGCACAGCTTATACTAGAGAAAAAGGAAAAGTCGCTGGGCGCCAACCAAATCAGACGTTGGTTTTTCTCGAAACCATCGACATGAAAACCCCATCAAAACCATCCTCAAACCATCAAGGAACGGGTCCAATCAAGTGGGACACAAAAAACGCCGAAAAGCGCTTCACGTGGTTCTTCAAGGGTTCGGGTTGGGAAGCGGGAGGGGCCTTAGCTTGCAGCTTCCGGTGTTCCAGTGCAGTTCTAAGCCACTAAGCAGCTACTAGAAGCTACTAGAAGCTGCCTATAGCAGAAAACACTCTTCCACACTCATGACATAAAGGAGAAGACAACAGAGAACGAGGCATTCGCTACCCCTCAAGCCTTCACGTTGTTGGTCATGCAAGTGGATTTAGATTTAGACAGCACTCTTCAGTTGCTTCTTGTCAATGGGACCACTCTGTCAAGACCTGTTGCCTTGGCCCATGCGAGGCCAATGGAGATGTGGTATTGATTCTTGGATGACTTTTAGATGGGAGTATGCAAAGTCCATACTACCAAGTTAAGCTTCCCTAAACATCTAGGAACAAAATCATTAGCGTGAGCTATCCTGCGTCCAGTAGGTAGTAGCGTCCAAGTAGCTAGTAGCTTACTCTCCCTTACTTAATTAAGTGGGCGCGTACATGATTAAGTAGGAGCGGGCTTAACAAAAAGGATGTGTTTAAGATGGGACGAGAGGACTTGTCATAACTTGCTCTCCACAGCGAGCGCTCAGCAGCTTGCGGTGGCATTCATGCAAGTGGTCATTGTTTAGCTTTCGTGTAGACCGACTCCTAGACCATCCAGTTTCTTGAGGTTCAAGTTCGTCTTCTTTTTGTTTTTCTTGAAACCGACCTCCCATTTGACTCAGTGTCCCAAGAACGGTCGAGGAAGTACAGCATGTACGATGAGAAGTTCCCCATTAAGGACAACAAGCAATGCGAATGATGTGAATGCAGATGGTCGTGGTTTTGCAGATGGTTGTTGTTCTCTTTGGACAACAAGCTACTGAAAAGTTCCTTTTTTTGCAACGCAGAGCTCCAATGCTCAGCCAGACTGAGCCCAGCCACAGGATGGAAAGATCACAGCAGCGGAGATAGATGAGTCCGGTCCTTGGTCGGGTTCCCCTTGGTGGCTGATAGTGACACAACTGTTAGATTGACTCAGAGAAAAGAGATCAATGGAAATCATCATCAAACGCCGGTTTGCATTGTTTTGTCTCTTTGCAACCTTTGTGCTCGTGTGCGTTTGGCGATGTTTGGCGTGCGGCCAGGACCTATTGCCTCTCAGATGTCATGCCTGGCTGCAAGATCCATCTGAGCATCAAGCCCGCCGAGGACGGGAACTTCAATGCAAGCAGAGAGAGAGAGAGAGAGAGACAGATATACTGTATATATATATATATGCCTCTCTTTAGATGTGCCAATGTCAGTCTGATTTCGATGCCTCAAAGTTCAGAGATGAACAAGGTGCATTCTGAACTCCTAGCATTCTTGAGTGATGGAACACGTCCTCGTGCTTGGTTTGTGTGGTGTTTTCATGAGGAGAAGTACAAAATGGAGAGTGCTGGTGAGGCTTGCCAGGATTTCACAATTCAACCCTGCTAATTACTGCTAGTGTGGTTGGTGCAAACAGGGAGTCTTTCCTTGATCCTTGATCCAAGTGTATGCAGGGTGCTGATGCTCTTGCTTGTGAAGATTGTCGTTGTGGCACATTGTACTCTTTGATGCAGGTATTTCCCTACATTTTTGAAGAACCTCTTGGCACCTTTCACGATTTGGAAGCCGGTGAGACTTACTACGCTACTTGGCTTCGTCCTTTAGCCAATGTCTGGTTCTGGTTCCTCGTGTGCGTTGTGCTTGTGAGGTCTTCGTGGAGGAGGATGAGTGTCTTGTCCAAACTCTTTCTGTTGGTGTGGCATGGTGTGGCAAGGAATCCTTGGATTCAAAATTGTTCAAATAGTCAACTAGATTTTTCTACACCTTTTTGGGTTCGCCTCACGCTTGATGTCATGACGCAGTTGGTCAACCAAATTTAGTCCAGAAACCAAATGACTAGTGCGAGCGTGAGCTACCATGCGTCCATACGTAGCAGCTTAAGTAGCTAGAAGCATGTTTAGGAGTATGTTAGACATGTGTAGTCCCTTGCTTAATCAAGTAGGCGCCTATTTTATTGAGCAAGGAGGCAGGGCCATGGGCTAGAATAAAGGAGTAAGCCTGCTTTAGAGCATAGTGCCTGTTTCCAGTTGTAGATGCGCCTAGCCCCCTGCCAAACTGATAGACCACCATGCTTGCAGCCAAAGCACAGATTCCTCAAAGCACTTTTGACGGTTGCAGAATAACTTTGAAGAAGACAACTATGTGAGCTTGATAGACGTAAGACACGACAACAACAATGTCGGAAGCTTTGGGGGTGCCAGATACACTTTGTGCAGGTGCCAGTGCCATGTTCCTTCAAGAGGTTCTTGGACAATATCCTATTACCAAACGAAGACTTACTTCATTGACAGTGCTGGAAAGATCCAAGGACCGAGTTCTTGAAGTCTCAGGAGAAGGCAAAGCAGAACTTTGCTGGTGTTAGGTCTGCTGCGACCAGAGGCGAAGGATGCAGCTGTATTGAAGGCTGGAAAGGGGACTGAAGGTCTTGGTTGGCTGAAGCAGAATCTCTGAAATGAGAGGGCAAATAGCACAAACCAGGCGGGCTTGTGTCATCCTTCATTCTGGCTCCTAGGCAATCCTTGCGCTCAAGAATGCGATGCGCAGGGCAACACCATTTGCTCGAGACTGAGAACACATAATTGCATTCAAACTCAAGTGACATCCCGAAGATTAAGGCACACAGTCGAAGGAAAATGTCGATTGTCCCCCAAGCAGCAGAGAGGTGGACTTGTTGTTGACCATGTTTTGGAAGCCTTGTTTGTTCCCCACATTGACGTGTGTTTTTTGTTTTTAGTGTGGTATCTGCTGCTCCTTCTCCTTCCTCCTCCTCGCTCCAACTGCCACCAACCAATTGCCACCCACCAATTGCTACCAACCAATTGCCACCCACCAATTGCTACCGACCAATTGCCACCCACCAATTGCTGCCAACCAATAGCCACCAACTAATTGTCACCAACCAATTGTCACCAACCAACTGTCATCAACCAATTGTCATCAACCAATTGCCACCCACCAATTGTCACCAAATTGCCACCAACCAATTGTCACCAACGAATTGTCATCAACCAATTGTCATCAACCAATTGCCACCCACTAATTGCCACCAACCAACTGCCACCAACCAATTGCCACCAACCAATTGTCACCAACCAATTGCCACCAACCAACTGCCACCAACGAATTGCCAACCACCAATTGTCCGCTCCTGTGTCTGGTGAAGTTGTTAACATGTGGGGTTATCCGGTCCTATAATTTTGTGGCTCTGCTCCTCCTAGATCTTTTTCTTTTTGTGCGCCAAGGCCTTGACTGGGCAAACCGCTTTGCTGTTGCGAAGGCTCATGGCTGGCTTGGCTACCAAGCAAAGTGAGCGCGAGCTTACTGTAGACTCGGGCAATGTTGCTGAGCAGCTAGAAGAAACAGTTTCAATACGTTCCAATCCTGTTGTGCTGCAGCAAGCTTGACATTCCTTTCAACTGATTTTGGAGCTTGTCTTGGTTTGGCCAAGTGCAAGAAGGCACAAACAATACAAACCCGGATGAGGGGCAAATCAGATCTTCAGGCTCTTCATGCACTGCAAAAGGCTTTCATCGTTGCCCGATTTGTGATGCTAATGAAGGTCCTAACACTGCAAAGCAGTGGATACGGGCGCACGCCCGCGTTAAACAAAGGCAACTGAGTTGCGTGTGTTTGTTCTCGGGCCACAAGTGGCCCTTCACAGAATTGTCAGGGAACAGCTAATCTTATTTTCAATACTGTGCAACACTGACAACTGTTTATTCCTGCAGGAGGCCTTCGTTTGAGCGCCATCGCTGCAGATTTCTATGCTGCAGCAGAGACTCAGGTGCCCCAAGTCCTTCAAAAGGTCGAAGCTTCAGCATGGGGGTGATCATTCACTGTAGATACTATACATGTATGCATATATAAGGTCGATGGAGTCGATGCCGATGCCCAGCCGGGAGTCAGTGTACGCTAGAGTAGTGAGCCAAGGACTTTCATGGTGAACTTGGCAGGTGATCAACAGTTACATGAGATTTATATTCATTATAGAAAGGTAGAAGTAGATGCCCATTTTGTGATTTCGGGTCCACTTCATGCTTGGAAGCATTGGTCACCTTTCTATCGTGTTCCTGTTCATTTCCCAGTTTTCAGGGTCACCAGTGGTCACCAGTGGTCACCAGGTCATCGGACAGGATGTTGTTCAAGGTATTTGACTGGAAGCAAATGAGCCCAAATCTTTTGTACAGCTTCATTGGGCGAAACAAGAGCGGACAGGAATTAGTAGATCATTGGCATGAGCATCCCTTTCCAATACGTACGACTTGCCACCACTGGGCCATGCCATGCAACTGCTGTTTTACGGCTTTGCAGCTAGGGCAGTTCAAATGAATGGTGGCTGACACCGGGGTCCCAGGTGTCGTTGGATGGCTGTCATGTTCCCTGTGTTTCGCCTGTTACGGCTGTCGAACACGACCTCCGCCCTTCGGCACCCTTCGGCACCTGGAAGGCTCGGCAGCTTTGTGCTCGCCTTTCGCTCCCCGGTGCTGAATCGCAGACGATCCCTGGCGCTCCACCTGGTGCCCATGCTGGCGCCGCACGGCTGCGGCTGGCCTTTGCACGAGCCTGGCAGCTTCAAGAGGTGTTCCATTGGGGTCTAGGTTGAGTATGTGGCAGGGAAGAACAGTGGTTGTGATGAAGAACCTACCTCCGATTTGCTGTCACGTCTGAACACAGACATTAGTGTTGGAACAAACGCAAAGAGCTAGGGGCAACCAGTGCAACTCATGCCAACTGAGGACAAACTTTTCCCCCAAGCAAATAACGACTACCAATGAGGAGATGCATTTGAATGACCTCGCACTTGGCTATACCTCTTACTGAGTCAGGAGACCAGCACAGGCCCCAAACCCAAAACGCCGCCGCGTCGCGACGACGCGACTGGACAGGCCTCTCTGCTGGTGGCTTTGAGGAGCTGTGCAGCTGGGCGGCTCAATGATGCAAGGATAGAGATGAAAAGCTTGCGGCGGATGGTGGAGGAGTCAGCGAGGCAGGGTGACTGGGTGACTGGGCAATACCAAAGATGGCCTCCAACCTACTAGAGATGGTCTCCGACCTAATAGCGATTGGCTCAGCTTGCAATACTGTGATTTGCAGCCGGTTGCAATGATGTTTCCTCTCGGTCGTTTGATGCGCTTGCAAGTTGTGAGAGGATTGCGCAGTGAACACAAGATTGCAAGAGTCATGAGGAAAAAACTTGAGGACCTTTGGGCTGAGCCCAGCAAATTGCAGAAACATTTGCCTCAGACCGCTAGGTGCCTGAGAAGACAGTTGGCATATGCAGAATCCTGCAAAGCAACAATCTGTGGCGCACAAAGAGGTGCACAGCGAAGCAGCCAGCAGTCAGGATGTGCTCTCTCGGTCTGCTTGTGCAACACATGTTTCGGCCCGACTTCAGATTTGTTCCCAAACAGCACCATTTGGACGTAAACTACAGCGATCCCCATGACATCTTAAAATGCAGTACAGTAGACTTAGTAGACAGAAGTAGGAATGGTTGAATGGTCTACTTTTTGCCATGAATTTTGCCATGACTTTTGGGGGGTCACTGTTCAAATCACCAAGACGAGTGAAGCCGCACTGCGGACCGGACGTCTTAGGTGCCAGAGATGGGTCCGGTCCCAACGGTCCCGGTGGACTGGGAGCACGGGTGTCGCTGAGCCTGGCGCTCGCCACCTTCTCACAAGGAATCAAGAGGCGTCACGAGGCGAAGGGTGCGGTTCGCGTCTCGAGCTGAGCCTCTGAGTTGGTTGTGTAAACATCAAACATTGACGCTTCAGAGGTTGGTAAGCTTATTCTCAAGTTAGTTGGAACAGGGCCAGGAAGCATTTACTAGCCTTCTTGACCCTACAGGTTCAACATTCCTCACACTGGTTCTCCTGCCAAATCTGCGACCGCTCACTTCGGTGTTGGAATCTCATGGGAGAAGTGTCCCTTCTTTTTGCACGCTCTTCTCTTCGGATGGGGCTTGCACGCTCCCGGTCTTCCGTAAGAACCTGCGGAATCTGCAGGTGCTGCACTCTCCAGAGGCCTACAATGCATGGCTCCAGGAGATGCGACGTGATTGGAAGCAACGTGACCGTGACTGTGAACAAAGTGTATTTTATAGTTAGATATAAAAACAAATGTTCAACAAAATGGCCGTGTTTGAGACTACAGGTAAGGAGAACCCTCCCAACCTACTATGCATTTTTTGGCTTCTTTTCTCTTTACCAGGGGGTCGAATTAAAGATCTCCCTGTTTGATCAAAGACACCGTCATCCAGGACCTCATTGGACGCCTGGAAGCGCATCTAGATGACCTGCAAGGGACACCCAGTGGTGCACTTTTCGGAAGAACCGACCAGTCACTGCCCAGTCACTAGTTCTCTTCGTGTTGGATCACCTGGTTTTCTGTTCGGACCACAGGTATTTGAGGCCAGCCAGAAAATTCTGAGCAGACCGTTGAGGTCGAAGACTGAGCACCCAAAGCTGCCAGGCCCAGATGTGAACAGGAAACCTTACAGTATTTGCTGATCCAATGTTTTCAGCTGGTTTTGGCTGCTCGAAGATCCAGCAAGTGAACACCATGATCAACTAAGTTTACCTTTGGCATTTGCACTCTGAGTTGCCGCCTGCTGTAAGTGTTGCTAGCATCGACTAACATTTACCCGTCGAAAAATAGTATCTTTGCAGATATTTTGCAGGTGGCAATGATGAAGCTCCCGTGGAGGTTGCGAATCCACCTGCCAAGCCGGTCTCAAAGGCAGATCCGATGCTTTCCAGAGTTTGACCCGCATTTCATCTCTTTGTCCGTCAGCATAGCCTGTTTGGTAAGTCTGCCCGAAGACTTGCTGATGTTACCAAGCATTTATATATACTGTATATTATATATATACATAAAGACAGATACTCCAACTCTTGTGGCAAAGATGCACTTTCCGGTTGGCATTTGCCTCCTGAATTAAACCGTGCCATTCACCCAACACTGCTAGCCTTTGAGCAACTTCAAAAGCCTCTGTGATGAAAAGAGTATAAACTGTAAACTCATGCTTTCGCGACAGCCAAAGCGCAGGTCGCGAAAGATTTGCGAAAGCCCCGCGAAAGCACCCTATAAGGACTAGTGTCACGAAAGCTTTCACGAAAGCAAGTTTTCTTGTCCCAATCCAATTTCCCAATCGAAAATGCATCATCGCGAAAGAGAAAGCGATAGTCCAAGTTACACCACACCTTCCGTGAAAGCCAAAACGCTCGTGAAAGCTCTGCCAAATCCCCTGCGAAACAAAGCTTTCTATACTGGCTTCTATACAAAGCACAAGTTCAAGACAGCACGAAACAAGAACATGGATTTCATACAGCAGCCAAGAAGTTTACACTCTCACCAGTCACAGTTCTCACATTCTCGGACTTAGAGGCACACCAGCGGTTCGAGAAGTTTGCATACACCACTTTCTCCAACAAATGGCCGTTGCACTATTGGGACATGCACGGCAACAAAATTCAGCACAGGAATGGAGGATGGCACAAACTGGTGATTACCAATTAGCTTGGCAAAACAGATCTGATCATCAATATGGCCCTCACTACAGCAATGCAAATACTGACAACACACCAAGACACTGGCTATGCAGGCACGACACAGCTTTCACACAGAACTACAGACAAGCAAATCTATGACCTGGAAGCACACAAGGTCATTACAAAAGCCACCTATGACAAAGACCAAGGAGTCGTGGCAATCATTGCGGAGAAGCACCTCGTGGACCTCATTCGCAATTTTTGGCATGATGCGTGGCGAACCGTACACAAAGAGCATCCCAGATACCCAACATATAGCAAGTATCCCTACGCAGTGACTTTTGCTGCCGCCAGACTAGAAGAAAACAAAGAAGACCAGATGGAAGAATGACTACACATCACCAGCAGAAAACAACACTATGACAAGCAGACACATGGCAAAAGCAAGAGGCAACAACAGCACAGGCAACAACCCCACACTGGCACACGCCATTGGGGAGCACCCCTCCGGAAGAACAACTACGCAAGAACTGATGACAGGCACTTGCCTTCAAGAAGGCGCCCCGGGACAGTGCCCTCTGGGCTGACTGAACAGACTCGGAGTCGCAACCGTCTAACACCAAACAATAACCCTTTTTACTACAATTGTAGAAGGGCCAAGGTTTTGAACTTTTTACGAGCACAGCGTCGTTGTGCATGGAGATATTTCAAAAGGACGCGACTCCGGGACCGAGCCAGGCAGGTAGCCAAAGCCATTTTGCATGAATGCAGCCTTTCAAAGAGAGAGGCTTTGACGAAAATCGTTCGACAGAAAGTCAGGAAGAACACCAAACGGTGGTTCCAACGGAACATAGTTCACCTCAAGAACGAACTTAAAACCTTCTTTGCAACACTTAGATCCCATAAGGTTTCTGAACGGAAAGGAGATATGCCAAACTATAAGAAGTTCTCTAAAACCTTTAAACTCAGAGCTAATCAGCAGATCAGAGCTGCCACGTTGAATGTTAGAGGGCTGAGCCAGCCAAAAAAAAATCTTTAACTAATCTCATGAAAACGCATGAATATGAGATTCTTCTAATAACGGAAACCAATATAAATACAAGCTGTATTGAGAATTGGGGTGGTTATACAGTTTTTTTCGGTACAAGCGTTGATCCCAAGATTCGAGACCAGGAATGCAAAAAACGAGAGACTGCTGCCATTAGGGGAGCGCAACATAGAAACCCAGCGACCAGCCATCGACTTGCCGCAGATTTTGAGCACGCAGGGGTGGGCATTGTAGTAAAGAATGCCCTGTTAAATTCCATTACGCAAGTACACCAAAAAATGGCCGCATTATGTCCATCACTTTTTCATGTCACGGCTTTGATGTTACAATGATATGCGCATATGCCCCACACAGTGGCCGTTCAACAGAGGACAAGGAAATGTTTTACGAACAGTTATCTGAAGAAATTACTTCTTGTCCTGGAAGGTATCTCATTGGTGGTGACTTTAATGCTAGGATCCACTACGTACGAGAGGTTGACGCTGATGTTTGTGGTCCGTACATCATTGGGAGAGGAATGGAACACCTTAACACCATGAACGACCAAACGAAAGAAAGCAGGGCACTTTTCTTGGGTTGGTGCAAAATGCATCATCTCAAGATCCTGAACAGCCAGTTTTCCAAACCATTAGACAGGTTGATAACATACAGAGAACTAGACGACGAGTGGCCCGAAAGCATTTTTCATCACGTAGGAAGTCAGTGTGAGTTATCTGTTAAGTGTTCAGTGTGAAGTGTTAAGTCGAGTGAGTTGAGGCAGTGTGTGGGTCTCTGTGTGTGTGTATCTATGTCTGTGTGTGTATGAGTCTCTGTCTGTGTGTGTGTCTCCGAGTAAGTTGAGGCAGTGCGTGGGTCTCTGTGTGTGTGTGTGTGTCAACCTTTTAAGAGAGCCGGGTGCTCGGGAGACATGACTCAGCTGCAGGGGCGCCAGAGCAGCTGCGAGAGATGACTCAGCCGCGAGAGATGACTCATCCGCGTACTAAAGTTGTACTGCAAAGTCACCAGTTCTCAGCTTCCAGCTCCACAGATTGCTCCGCGTACTAAAGTTGTACTACAAAGTCGCCAGTTCTCATCTTCC